GGGGCCATGGCGCGCCGCCTCCGAGCGCGCGGCAGGGCTCGGTCGAGCCGGCCCCGGCTGCCGGGCGGAGACGGGCACGTGCGGCCCGGCGCGTGCCGCCGCCGACCCGGTCGCCATGGCGGCGGCAGGGAACGTCAGCCGGCTGAGTCGCCTCTGCAGTCGGCTCTATGTCGTGTGTGAGTGGGTTGACCCGGTGCGGCCCCGGCACGGCATGAAGCGGCGTCACGCGAGATCTTATATCGGGTGTGAACGCGCTGCCCGGCGTGGCCCGATGCGGGCACGGTGCGGTACGAAGCGGCGTGGGACGCGTCACGGCGCGACACCTGACCTTACGCTGCGTGAGTGTGCCGGTCCGGTGTGGGCGGGGCCGGTGCAGTGGGCCGACGCGTGGGAACGGGCGGCTGGGGACGGGACGTCAGCGGGGATGAGCTGGGACGCGCCGCCGGTGTCTCGGCGCGCTCCACACGACGGGCTCCAGGCGCCGCTGCTTAGTGGTGATGCGGTGAAGGGCCGGGAGGCCGTGAGACTGAAGTGACAGCGCGGTGCGGTTCCGCGTCGGACGCCGCTGCAGTGACAATCGGTATGCCGCAGCGTTTTGGATCGTAGGTTAGTGGTGTCATGAGAGCTCGGAAGCGGAGACGCGTGAATCGCTAGTTTCATCAAGGATCATCGAAATGCATTTGCGAATACGTCGGAACACGGTCTAAGTTCACTTTCGACCCGCTGCGCAGTCTGGAATTCCGTCTATTCATTTGCGAAACGTGGGGATGGCGCGCGGAGCGTTGCGCAACGGCCGCTGCCGACAGAAAGACAACGGGAGCGGTTCATCCGAAGGTTCTGCTGACCTAAAACCAGCGAAGCAGAGTGTGGCAAAGCGAGCCAGCTGCTGCGACGCATGAGGACGAGTTACATCACTCGCGGCCCGTGCGGTATCTGGGACGATGCGGACAAGAAGTAAACGACCGCTTGTCGCAGCGATGAGACATTTTAATTGGTGGTGCAGTGTATATTTTTGCTGCTCTCGCCGTTTCTTCAAGGGTGTTGTCGATGGATTTGCTCGTGGCTAATTGCTCCGGCTTGCATCACTAACGGGTTAATGTGCCGAGCGTGGCAGCTGGCGCCGCGCGGAGCGCGCCGACCTCGCGCCGAGGGAGAGCCGGGTCGAGCTGGCGCCGGCTGCGAATGTGGCTCAGGGGACGGCGCCGGGCCGGGCCGGGCCGGGCCGGCCGGCCGGCCTGCCGGCCGGCCGGCCGGGCCGGGGCCGGGCCGGGCCGGGCCGGGCCGGGCCGGGCCGGGTGTCAGTTGGTGGGGCGCGGTCCGGCCGCCGGACCACCCCGGCGACCCTGAGCAGGAGACGGCCGTGGGGCAGCGGCCCGTTCGGCCAGAGTTCGCCATCGCGTCGACACCTGGCGGCGAGACTCGCGACCGACGGCGAGGCGCCCGGCAGAAGCGGCCGTCGGTCTGTGGCCGGCCACCGTCCCGCCAGCAGTGCCGAAACCCGCGCTGACGCTGCCGACAGATGTCCCGCAGCGGGCCGGTTGTTGCGCCGCCGCCTCGCCGCCGCCGGCCTTCGGCCTCGCCCTGACCTGTTTGAGCAGCTGTGTAGAGCGGCGTCGTGTGTGCACGGCGACCGACGGCGCCGGCGCCGCCGAGCTCGGCCCGGATCCGGCGGATCGCCGGATCCGGCACGGTGTCGCCGGACGTTACGTAACCCCCCGCAGTCGAGTCCACGCCGTCAGGCCCCGCCGCCGCGGCGAGGCTGCGGCCTCTCTCACGTCGTCACTGTGTCTCAGTCGTGCTTCTCGTCGTTGGCGTTGGTCGTGACGGTTAGTCATTGGTCTGGGTAGGTGCTTGTAACTTTGATTTGAACGCTGTCGTCTTGTAGCCGACGGGGTCTGTTCGACACATGTTTGGACATGCCGCATGCTCTCGCGTAAAAGCCTTACAGCTTCAACCCGTTCTGCGGCTCATGCATTTG